TATATGTTATATGTTATATGTTATATGTTATATGTTATATGTTATATGTTATATGATATGTTATATGTTATATGTAAATATGTTATATACATGCACGTTTGTGCAACTACTACAACTATACATGTATATTGTGTGCCACCCATATGGGGTGGATTTTGGCTGAACTGGTAGCAAAAGCTGGCAATAGCAACATCTATCTCCAGGTCCAGGAAGCACACAAAAAACTAATACAGTCAGAGTAGAACTGAACTGCACTACAACAATATGAATACACACCCACACACACAGAAATAATCAGGTATATGTGGGTGCATATCTGCATGTATGTACTAGTGCGCAGCTACATGTACATATGTATGTATGTGTTCACATGCATAAGCATGTACAGAATACAGCATGCGGAGTAGGCTTAGAGAAATTTGACTGTCATTTGAATTACTTATGGTGTTTCACATGTGCGCTTTCATGCATGTGACTTAATATACATATGTATATGTATGTACATGTGTATACCATTCGAAACTATCCAATTTCTAAAACAGTAAACATTATTCTACTCTTGCGAATTCTATCGATAACTGGCATTCATCAACGACTTGTTATTTCTTATAAAAAGAAAAGAAGGAAAAAAGTGAAAGCTCTAGTCTGCTCGACTATGAGATTCTCTGATCCCTTCGAGATTCCCTGATCCCTTCGAGGAACTGATATTAAAATAAAATTTGTTGCCTATTTCCTGCATACCCAAAACAACATATGCACACACATTGGTGCAGTGCGTACTATGAGCCTAATAATTCGAGCAGCGTGTTTTTATACCCTGAACCCATTGAAAATGGAAAATCATAGCAGAACCCATAATGTATATATATTTTTGATAAGGGCGACCAGCTGTGTCGATATAGCCCTGTCCATCTGTCCGTTCGTCCGTATGAACGACTAGATTTCAGAAGTTATAAGAGCTAGAGAGCTGAAATTTTGTGTGCATGCTCGTGTATACCATACGCAGTAAAAGTGTGTCTTATTTTTTCGATAAATCATCCGGTAACTTTTTTTTGTATATACAAATATTAACAAAAATCAAAATTCTATAAAATGCATCTTAATTTATTTGCCTACAAGCAACTGATACTTAAATACTAATTCGCACACCCACCCAAACACACACACGCATACACACGCACATATAAACCGCATTGGCTGCAGTGTGGGCTTACTATGGAAACTTAATAGTTGTATAACTTTTTTGTGGGTGATCTATCTTCATGAAACTTTAAGATTATGATTTTAACATGGATACGCATGCATTTACCAAAGCATATGTCTCTAGTGATAAACTCGATATCCGCATGGTATACACGGACCTAGGAAAACAAAATTTCAAGTCTCTCGCTTTTATATCTTCTGAGATCGACGCGTTCAAACATACTGACAGACGGACAGGGTTGGACTCAGCTCGTCGCCCTGATCAATAATATATGTATATATTTTGTGGGGTCAGCCACGCCTCCTTCTGCATGTTACATACATTTAACTAAACTATTATACCCTGATTTGCCGTTTTCAATGGGAAAATAACTGAACGAATACGATTGAGCTTCGTATTAAATTTTATTATTCTGATATACCCAGACTCAGCGCTCGTCTCTTACATAATCTGTCGCTAAGATTGCAACGTTACTCATTCACGAAAGTCAATTATTCATGAATTAGTATATTGGTTCTGTGCAATGTCCGTCCGTCTGTCCATAAGAACGCAATCTTTTTCGGCGGCATTGAAGCTAGAGACTTGAAATTTGGAACACATACTCGTGTATATCTGCTATGTGTGTGTTAAAATTCGCAGAAGGGCTAGAAAGCTGAAATTTGGAATGTAGATCCGCATCGACCAACAAGATCACGAGCTATGGCGGATATATCTACGCCTATTGACGGCGTGGCAAATCGATTAAAACTGTATCTCCTAGAGTTTTTAAGCTAGAATGTTAAAATTTTGCACGTCAGCTAATGCTATGATTCTATAAAATAAATTTGGTATTTATACTCGGGCTGACCTCCCAAGACGAAAATGCTTTGGCGGATATATGTCTGCCCTTAGGGGGCGCAAAAGTTGATATCTCCCAAAGTATAAGAGCTTGAATAGATAGATAGATAGTTTCGTTGTTAGTTACCTCCTCTATCAATGACCAAAAAATAATTTTAACGCCTCTTTAGGTGCATGGCATATCGCAAAATGCCGTGTAGTGTTGAAAATTGGCAAAGCTGTCCAGTAAAGTTGACGCGAAGTATGTTATGTTATTACCTATGCATCGAACCCAATAACTTATCTTATTCGTAGGCTAGGAAACACATTTGCTTACGCTTCGTCAAAAATTCAACGTCATGGAATCAAACTCAATGGGATACCATCAGATTTAGCTATGAAGCTAAATTTGATTTTCATGTCGGCGATACATAAACACTGCCTTAAATGAGTAAAGTTTCCTGTGAACACAATAGTATGGGGACATATGTCTGCCAAAGGATTAGGAAAACTGTATTTCATTGCAGGGTCGGTTATTGCTGAAAAATAGATTATCTTAAAAAATAGTTTACGGCCATCAATATCAGAACTTTTCAGCAAGACGGAGCATCATGACGCACAGCCAAACAAATAGGTCTGACTAAGTTCAATTAAAAATATTTGGAGTCATAAGCCACCATCATTAAAAAGCAAGCTTCGAAATGAGCTACAAAGAAACATTTCTGACATAACAAGAAAGAAAGCTCTAGTCGAGACCGCTCGACTACGAGATCCCCTGAACCCTACAAGCAACTGATATT